GACTGACTGAAACACTTCAGTATTTTCGAACGCAGCGCGTTCTACTTGCTGGCTGTCCTTCACAAAACTAGTCTCCATAGGACTTTTCACTCCCGCACAATCACTCATCCTCATGTTCTGAAGCAATTGCTCAATTTTACCTCTCTGGCTGAGCAAAAAGCTTCCATCCTGTGCACGCTCAACACTGACACCTAAATAGGTATTGACAGCACCAAGCTGTTTAAGCTTGAATCGTTTACCTAGCTCTTTGGCAAACTTCTCTGCCTGTTCATCTGTCTCTGAGAAAAATAACAGGTCATCAACCCAAATCTGCAAATACTCTTGTGTTGCTCCTGAACCTCTCAAATAAAAGCAACTATCAGCAACACTTCTCCTGAAACCTAGCTCTTCTAAGGCTTCATTCAGGCACATGTTCCAGTTTCTAGCAGATTGACGTAATCCATAGATGGATTTGTGCAATCTCCACACAACATCCTGCCTTAAGTTCTCAAATCCCGGAGGAGGAATCATGTACAGCTCCTCCTGGAGATCTGAGTTAAGGTAGGCAACATCCACATCAAAGTGGTTTACTTTCCAGCCTCTCTGTGCTGCACAAGCTAAAAGCGTTCTCAGAGTCTCCGCTCGTGACGTTGGCGAATACACCTCCGTGAAGTGTATTCCCTTCCTCTGAGTAAATCCTCGAGCAACTAACCTGGCTTTATACTGCGGCTCTCCAGCGTCCGTGGGTTTCGAGCGGTAAACCCACCTGCAACTCACAGCCTGCTTGCCCGGTGGCAACTCTGTGAGTGAGAACACACCTAGATCTTTCATGGACTTCATCTCTTTGTCCATTGCTCTGTGCCACTTGCCTGCTTCTTCCTCAGGTAAACTCTGAATATCCTCGAAGGATTCAGGTTCACATCTTGCAGAACCTACCCAGACGCTAGAAGCGTCGTACCGATCAGGAGGCCTCCTTGTCCTCGCTGATCTCCTCAGTGTGAATCCTGGTGACCCTGCTGCTTCACTGGGTCCAGCTAAATCATCCTCAACTTCAGTGTCTTTCCCCCTCTGACCTGCTGCGCCTCTTGGGCCTTACAGCTGGTCCAGCAGGTGAAGAAGGCTCACTCTTTGGCTCAAACTTGACACTTACCTGAGGAGGTGTTCTAGGTTCCCCCCTCTGAGGGATCCTGAGCTGTCCCTGCCTTGGACTCTGTCGCTCTGGACTGTGGTCCCCAGCACCAAGTTCCTCTTCCTCCTCAACATCTGAGTCATAGAACTGCTGTGGAATCACGTCTGGATTAGCGTGCAGACGTTTCCAACCGGCTTGCTCACAGAACTCAGCGCTATTGCTGATAACCAACCTAGACTGGTCTCCACTTGGGTACGCAAACCGCCAGGCCTTTGAGCCAGGCTCATACCCTACAAAGATCATTCTTTTAGATCTTGGCTCACCTTTCTTGCGTAGAGCCTTTGGAATAAGCACCCAAGCCTCACAACCAAACACACGAAGGTAGTGTACCTTAGGCTTCTTTCCATGCAGTAAGAAATACGGTGTGTTTCCTACACTAGAGTTGTACACTCTATTCTGCGTATGGACCACAAATCTCCAAGCTTCAGACCAATATTTCTGGGGTAGCCCTGCTTCCCACAGGATCGCAGACACAGCTTCCTGCACCGTCCTGTTCTTTCTCTCTGCCAGCCCATTCTGTTGCGGAGAGTAAGGAGCGGTCAGTCTGTGGCTAATCCCCTTCTCCCTAAAGAAATCCTGTAAAGCAGAACCAGTGAATTCAGAACCTCTGCCACTTTGAAAACCATGAACTTTGGTGGAAAAGGTTACCTCAACTGCGGTGATCCAATCCCTGATCATTTTAGCTGCCTAGGTCAAATTTTATATTTTCATGTTAAAGGCGGGAAGGTTTCAATTACTAATACAATCATGTAATCATGTACTGGTTTCAGAATTTGAATGTCATCAATTCACTGTGCTTTGAGCTACCTGGTATCTTAATATTTTTGTTAAAAGTTTGTTTCTTATTGACTCTGTTGCATAGGTACCCTGGGTGATTTAGAAACCACTTGTTAAATGTTGATCAAAAGTAAAAATGTACAAATGTATGGGAAAAAGTAGCGTTGTCAAAAGGGATGGGATTTTAAATCCCATGTTCATACAGATGAGGAGAGTATTCCTCTTCTGACCATGGGTGCACACACCGCCTTAAGAAGTGCCTTAAGCACCAACTCCCTGGTTATGGGGAGACAAGGCAGTAAATCGCCCCCCCCCCCCGCAGTGTGTGTGTGTGTGTGTGTGTGTGTGTGTGTGTGTTAAACACAGAAAATGGGGCCAAAGAACACTCAGGAAAATTACAAAATTACTAAATATTGCATGGCATGCCAGCCCCCAGAGTATGAGCAAGAGTACCTGTGTCATTTAAACATATGACCTCTTTTTGTTATCATAGAGGTGGTTCTGTAAATTTGACATACTTTTACAAGTAGCAGCAAAGGGAATTTGCAATATTTGCAGACCTGTGTTTTAAAACTTAAAGGGGCGTGCAAGTTAGATTTTATTATAAATCTCAGCTCAGTTTAAAATAAGGAATAGCACACTATTTGATACCAAAATTGATTTTTGCACTACCTTTCTTCTGATACATTTTTGAAATGCGTAGAATTTTTATTTGTAAAAGGGATGAACAATTGTATGCAGAAGGTGAAGTAGTGGTCTGGGCTGGAGAAGGTAGGGGGAAGTAGAAAAGAAGGTGAGAGGTAGAGGGTAGAGAAGTGAGAATGTTGGAACAGGAGAAAAGTTGGGTAATGGGCTGTAAAGACGGTTGAGTGTTTATGCTGATTAGTACTAATGAAATTAATATATTAAGATGCTATTATTGAGAGAGAGTTTACTAAATATAGTAAAAGCTGAATTGCATAAAGGCTGTGTGTGACCAGCGACACACTTAGTCAAAGTCTTGCATGTGCTGTTAAAATGCACTCAGATTATTGGTTGAGGTTTTCATGAGTAAAAACCAGCTTTTAAAGAATTCTGAATTCTGAATTAAGAATATAATATATTATGGAGCAGCCCTCTTTTTGGCTGGCTGGACAGCTAACCATCCATAAATTAACAGCAAGAGTAGGGACCTGGAATATTGTTTGTGCTCTTTTTAGTATGTCCCTCCCATGAAAGACACTCCTTGGATATCTATTAATTGAAAATTGAGATGGCCCTTTTTGATTTCTAAGTGTACATGCCAGGAGAGGTCTTAGGCAAAATAACTTTTATTTCCCTGTTCACATTAGGAAGCGTGTTGGGGTGAATAGCAAGTGTGTGTATTGGGAAACTGGGACCTTAATTCATAAAGCAAATAATACCAAGCAATCTTTGTCCTTCAGCAGAATACACTGGTGAACTTTTCTCTAGTGTAAGGTTTGTTTACACTCTCTGTAGCATACGCAAGCAGGACCCAAAATGCATGAGGAATCAGATGTCACATTTTGAAGTAGGTGAAGGCCTGACTGCCTGTAATCGTTTGTGGTTTGTGCCTTTCTTTGTGGTTTCAGATATGGAAGCTGTCAGGCACCTCTTATCAGGGCTGCTTGTGTCATATCCTTCTGTCGTAGCCTTCTGAGTGGTGTTCCCTAAAATGTTCCTAGTGCTCTAGGTCAGATATTTAGTTTCACATTATGAAAAGGAACAAGCAGGAACCTTTCCCCTAAATGGTGTCTTGGTACCTGCTCTCTCAACCCCCCCCCCCCCCGCATCTGCTCTATATAGGATTGAATAGAACAGACATGCAAAAAAAATTGGTGTTGAAAGTTGAGTTGCACCCTTTCAAACTGTTATCAGATGCTTTCTTATAAGAAAATTCAGCCACATGGCAGGTAGCACTTAACCTATTGCTGTACCCTAATTTAACTGAACCACTGTCCCAAGTCAATTAAGTACGTGAATATGTATATCAAGAATTAAATTATTTGCAGATAAATAATAATAGAGGGAAACTGGGAAGGACTGTCCTACAGTTTATTTAAATGGTCAAATGCAGCCCAACAGAACACCCTTTCGCAGTGAATATTCTGCAGAAAGAATTTAAAACAGAAGCGTATCTTAAGAGGCAAAGGTAGGATAATCACAGTAATATGCTACCCTCCGAAAGGATCTCATTCTTTTGAGATTTAATCTCTGCTTGCAATTTGTGTGTGTATATTCTACAATCACATTTAACCCTGGAGAAGAGCCAGCATCTGGTACATGTTTTTTTATGTGTTTTTAAGCTTTCTGTTTGTGTGAATGATTTCAGATGCCAGATTATCACCTGTGCTACCTTGTTAATGTACTTCATCTTTGTGTCAGTATCACAAAGAGAGAGAGAGAGAGGATGAGAAGGAAAAAAAAAATAATGATGTTGGGATTGAAGAATTTAGAAAGGACTTAAGAAAAGGAGGTGAAGTGGACAAAAGGACAGTACAAAAGGGTGTTTCATTATATAAGATCATATAGCGATAAAGTGGGCGTAGCGCCTTTGGTCCTGAGGGCAGCAGAGTACTGGGATGGGAATTGGCTGAAGAAACAGAAGGCATTAATGGGGCCCTTTGGATGTCCAGCAGTCCTTTATTGGGCTCAAATTGTCGTTTTTTGTGTGTGTTGAATATATGCTATATGGTGATTTGTGGACCTAGTAGGTATCTAAAGCCATTTGCACATGACGAAATATGTTTTTATCAAGGTAATTTTATCAAAGTAATTGTTAGACCCTGATGATGACCAACCCATAGCCTATTTGTCTGAAAAATTAACCACTACGGAACAAGGTTTGCCTCCCTGCATGCGAACAGTAGTGGCGGCTGCCACTCTGACTAAAAGAGAACTGACAGGTTCACCTTTGGACAAGAAACCACGTGCGTCACTCCTCATGCTGTGCCAGCATTGTTGGACATGAAAGGAACTTATTTTTCTATCCCCCTTTGCCAAGCACTGCTCATGCACCCGCAGTTGCAGCTTTGAGTTACTGAGTCTACCACCTATGGGAGAGGATGGGCCTCCAACACCTGACTGCATATATTCCAGCAGGCCTGATTTGAAGAATGAAGCCAACCCCAGGCAGTATCAGATTGGACTACTACAACTGATCTACGCCGCCTCACGCTTCTCCTCACCGCATCGGCTCGGCACCCACCAGACAACCGCCCTGCTGGTGCCACCCCTGGAAGCTGGCATCTCTACGCACGGCAGAAGAATCCAGCGTGGACTAAAAGAGGACATTTTCTTTTCTTTCCCTTTGAATATATAGCTTTGTATATATGCTTTGTGGGAGGTACCCCAGGTATTAGAAGAAGGAGGTATTAGGAAATAGATATATCCCTGTGCCCAAATGATGCAGGTAGGGCTGTGAGGGGACATGGTTTTGGCCAGGATGGTGGTCTTCTTATTTCTGGCCATCGCCGCGCCCACACCACTTAAGGTAACCTAGTGGCTAATGAGAGAATGGGGTGCCCGCAACACGTACAATAAAAGGTCTGCACTCTGTGACCTACAGATGCTTTGGGAGGAATTATTATTATTATTATTATTTATTATTTGTACCCCGCCCATCTGGCTGGGTTTCCCCAGCCACTCTGGGCGGCTTCCATAGAAACCAAAAAACACTAAACTATCATACATTAAAATACCCCTCCTCCCTGTGCCTTGGAATGAGTCCTCAGTTACGACCCCGAATTTGGGTTCTGCCGGATTTTGTGCCGCGCTAAATTTTGACAGAAGGAGCCTGTTGCTTTAACATCTCTGACCATGGTGAAGCTATTCAACACCTGGCAGCAGAAAATAGAAAAAGTGGCCCATGTTCCTGTCCCAACCTGGAACGGATGGGACATGTCTTGGTTGACTGAGTGGCTTCCGAACCTTGGGTGGCTTAGAGGACTTTTAATGATGTTGATAGGCCCCTTGCTAATCTTGCTTCTTTTCTGCTCCTGTATACCCTGCTTAATGCAATGCTTGCAAAATATGATGCATAAAATGATGTCACGAATGATTCGGCCCCAGATTATAGCACTGACACGAGAATACCAGCCAGTGCCTTGGGATGAGCCCAAAAGAAGAGGGAATGAAGGAATGGGTTTCCCAAAACCCAAAAACTGACTGTGCAGGCAGTTTTAAACTGCACCAAAATCCCTATTTTTCCTGAGCTAAAATGCATAAACTTGAGCCGTTGAGCAAATCCGTAACAAGAACAAAGCTCTCTCCCTTATCAGTCCGTGGCGGCAATGAGTGACCTTGCCAAGTTCCAGTACAGCAGAGATGATGCGTGTGTGCCTTATCTTATGTAGAGTAGGAAGAGGAAGATCCTTTTATGGTCAGAAGTACAGGAAGGATGATCCTTTTATGGTTGAGAGTACCAGAGCAGGAACATATGTGATGTCAACCTGACGTGGTTAGGCTCCTAGGGGAGGAGGGAGAGGGTGCCTGGAGGGTATATATACTGCATGAAACTTGTAATTTCTTTGGACTTGCTGTGGACTCACAACGCAAGTGCCTTCTGCTATCCGGAGAGCAGAATAAACTCTTTCTTTGAACCAACTCAGTGTCATTTGACTTCCTTCCTCCTGTCCCGGTGCAACGCAGACCCAATCGGTGAACTCCAATAAGGCTACAACTCCATGTACAGCGACAGGGCGGAGCCCAGCCAAACTTTTGATGGGCCGCCGCCTGCAATCTCCTCTCGACCGGCTGCACCCAGATTTTGCAGTGGCAGATCCCCCAGGCTGTGCTAACGTGCCGCGATCTTTCATCCCAGGGGAAATGGTGTTCACCCAGAACTACGCTGTGGAGATTCTCTGGGTGCGAGCTGTAGTTGTTGGGGTTACCGAGCCAAAGTCATATCAGGTGGCTTTGGATTGCAGACAAATATGGTGTTGGAACATTGACCAGCTGTGCCACCAGGCTGGAGATTTGGTCACAGAGACAGTGCCTCCGATGGCCCTGGCAGAGATTGGCCAACCACCGAGTACTGCTGAGGATCAACTAAGTGAGACTGGGGAAGACTCTCCAGCACACAGCCCATCTGTCCCTGCACCCTTGCCGGAGTCTCCTGTACAACCACAGTCCGAAGCCGCCACCGCTGTATCAGACACAGAAACCTCAGAGCCGAGCCATCCATCCACGTCGAGCCACCCACCTGTGTCTCCGACGGGCGTGTCCTCAGGTCTTGGCAGCCAGGCTGTTTCCCCAGAGGGACCTCACTGGTCTAACCGGATCCGTACTTGCCCAGCCTTCCTAAGGAATTATGCGGTCTAATGTACAGTACTGTTTCGGGAACTTGACTAAGCTTGTACTAGTGTATAGTGGAATCATATGTTTGTCGAATATTATAAAGGTAAAGGTAAAGGTAAAGGGACCCCTGACCATTAGGTCCAGTCATGACTGACTCTGGGGTTGCGGCGCTCATCTCGCTTTATTGGCCGAGGGAGCCGGTGTACAACTTCCGGGTCATGTGGTCAGCATGACTAAGCCGCTTCTGGCAAACCAGAGCAGCGCACGGAAATGTCGTTTACCTCCCCACCGGAGCGGTACCTATTTATCTACTTGCACTTTGACATGCTTTCGAACTGCTAGGTTGTCAGGAGCTAGGACCGAAGAACGGGAGCTCACCCCATCGCGGGGATTCGAACCGCCCACCTTCTGATCGGCAAGTCCTAGGCTCTGTGGTTTAACCAACAGCGCCACCCACGTCCCCTCAGTCGAATATTATAGCAACATTCAATTATGGTGCATTATGGATTGGGACCTAACACCCTATCTAGGTGAAGAGGGGTGTTATGTATTCAGACTGGCTGCAGTTCTCACTCTGGGCCACCAGTATGCAAATGAAGGATTGAGAGTTGCTTTCACCAATTTGGTAGTTAGTTGCAATTTGTTACTGTTACAAATTATTGAGCATTATATAAGGCAACCAGCTTCACTGTTGTTCAGAGAGACTTAGAGCAGTGCTAACTGCTGTAATAAAGAGCTGTTGCTTAAAAGAGCTGTGTCTGTTGCCCATCTTTCCCACTATACAACACCACATTTGATCCATGCACCGTATTGGTCTCCTTTTTGTGCTGCTTTCATGTTTGCCACAAACACTGCAAATTCCTATGCTCCTCCTTAAACTCCAAGGAACTCAGGGGGTCATCTATAGCTTCCTCCTGCCCTGTTATACTTCCAACAAGCCTGTGAAGGAGGTTCATCTGAGAGTTGGTGAGTGACCCCAGATCTCTTAGTGACCACTATGGCTGAGTGGGGATTTGATTTCTGGTTTCCCTGCTTGCTGCAGAACTGCAGCTCTTTGTGCATTTCAGGGGGTTGGACTAGATGACCCCCAGGGCCCCTTCCAACTTTACGATTCTATGATTCTACGTTTTGTGGGTCTTTAAAAGACTGGCCATTGCATAATCTCTGTTGGGCTGGTGTTGGGAATAAGTGTCTTGAGGTTTTCAATTAACCCCCTTTGAGGCTGCAAATAAATATTTGTGTTAGTCTTTGAAAGTGCTAACACAAGGCTGTGAGCATGTAACAGACTCAGAAGCGTGTGTGTGTGTGTGTGTGTGTGTGTGTTGTCCGGCTGAGTTCAGTTGATAGGAAGCAGGCATGGCAACTGAACTGTAGGCATGTTGCCTGTGTTAATCCCCTTCTGGCATGTGTGTATGTGTGCCATTATGATGTGTATACATATGCAAAGGTAACCTTGAGCTTATAGACTGGCTCCTTTCCCCACCCTCCATCCCCACCCTGATGCACCGGCAGAGTTAGTGTCCCTTTAACTGAAGTGTGACAAGCAGAAATTCAGGAGGTCAGAACCAGCATTTTGAGTGTTATTCCTTGGAAGCCTGTGGGTTTTTAAATTCCCACTTTTAACTGTTTAAAAGGGTTGCAGATCCTTTTGTGTTCTCTCACTGACTTGAATGGGACAAGATTTCAGACATGAGCACGCTTGCATTTGAACTTGGTGTAGCCTACAGCTTGAACAATGCACAGTTCGAAGTTCAAACTTTGAACCAGGCTTTGAAGCTTACTTAAAAGTAAGTCCCACTGGGGCAGCTCAGCTAGCCCTGCTCTTTCTCCCATATTCCACCAGCAGTTTGATGAAACACATAGGGGGCGTGGGCTGGGGGGAGACACCCATGTATAATAGGATGTCCCTGTTTTCATCTGAGAAATGTTGGAGGGTATGGAGGGTGGTAGCGTTTGTTGAAACAAGCTGGCTTGTTCCCATACTAGGATGTGGTTAATTTACTGTAAAGCAGATGCTTTCAATCTTGTGACTGACTCCAAATGCAGTCAAGTTGGTAGTGATCATCTCCGTCTAGCGTAGGAAACTATCAAGTACAGTGGTGCCCCGCAAGACGAATGCCTCGCAAGACGGAAAAACCGCTAGACGAAAGGGTTTTCCGTTTTGAAGTTGCTTCGCAGGACGAATTCCCCTATGGGCTTGCTTCGCAAGACGAAAATACCTTCCGAGTCTTGAGATTATTTTCCGCTTTCCCCCCCCTTTATCTAATCTGCTAAGCCTTTAATAGCCTTTTAATAGCCTTTTAGCAGCTAATCCCCTAAGCCTTTAAGCCTTTAATAGCCGCTAAACCGCTAATAGCGCTAATAGCGCTAATCCGTCAATGGGCTTGCTTCGCAAGACGAAAAAACCGCTAGACGAAGACTCTCGCGGAACGGATTAATTTCGTCTTGCGAGGCACCACTGTATATCTGAAAATATTTGAAGGACTTCTGGCGGTGTGCTGGTCCCGTGGGCTAACCGAGAGGCGGGGTCTGAGTCCAGTCTGTCCTGGTCCCCGGGGGGGGGGGGTGTTACCGTGAGGCGTGGTCAGAGTCCGGTCCTGGGTTGAGGTTCTGGAGACTGTCCACCAAGGGCGAAGCGGGGTCCAAAGCAAGAAGCCGGGTGTGGTCGGGAACTCCAGAAGAACAGGTCTGGGTGCTGGCAGAAACAGGTTTCCAACGACGTTGCTCCCGCAACCTGGGACTGGGCTGACTGGCCTTTATCTCCTCTGAGGCCAGGGGCAGTCCCGGCCCACAGGTGACTCGCCTCTCCTGGCCTTAAGGCGAGCACTCCTCCTGAGAGAACCCAGTTCCCTCCGCCTCTCTGCCCTGAGCCTCTGCAGCGCAGGAGAGGCTGGAGGGTTACTGAACCCAGAGGCCGCCTCACCTTCCCCTGACAGGGCTGGGAGAGGAGCACCTGCAGGCAATGGGTCCTCAATCACCTCCGGAGCCAGAGTGGATTCATCTGGTGTCTGCTCCTGAGGATCCAGCACAGGTGCGGGCCCTTCAGATTCAAGGCCCTGCCCTGGCTCAGCCGGCCCTGGAGGCGGGGACTCCTGTGCAGGCTGGGATTCCTCCAGTTCAGCCTCTGAATCAGATTCCCAGGCCATCACACAGTCCGAGGTCGAAGGTGCAGTATGGAGACAGTCCGTAAAAGTTGAAGCTGGATGCAGGGCAGGTAGTCGGGTGAGGTCAGGAGCTCCGGCAGAAAAAAGCGAAACCAACGCCACCGACAGACATAGACAATCTTCTTGGGGCTGTTGGAGGAGAAGGAGAATAACTACAAAATGACACTTCAAGTTTTAAGCTGGAACATTAATGGTCTAAATTCGTCGGCAAAAAGGGGGAGAGTATTTCATACATTGAAAAAAGAACATTTGGACTTGATCTGTTTACAAGAGACGCATGTGACAAGGCTACATCGGAAAATTTTGATAAATAAAAGATTGGGAGAAGAATTTATTTCATCGGACAATGTGAAAAAAAGAGGAGTAGTACTTTATGCGAAGGAAAGCCTGTCACCAAAATTTATATTTAAAGACGACCAAGGAAGATATATAGCAATTGAAATTCAGTTTCAAGGACAGAAGTTTTTGATAATAGGTGTATATGCACCAAATGAGGGAAAATCAGAATTCTTAAAAAAATTGCACGAAACTCTCCTGGATTATTTGGATTACAACATTATTTTGATGGGAGATATGAATGGAGTAGTGTCTACAAATATGGATAAAGCCCAAAGACTAACGGTGACGAAAGATGGAAGACTACCAAAGACATTTTTTGAAATGACTGACAATATGGATCTTGTGGATATTTGGCGAATAAAGAACCCCTTGGAAAGAGAAGGAACCTTCTTTTCTGAAGCAAATATGACATGGACAAGAATAGACCAAATCTGGATAACTAGAGGACTGGCCCCTAAGATAAAAAAAGCGGTGATTTGCCCGAAAATTTGCTCTGATCACAATCCAGTAAAGATTGAAATGATATCAACGCCAATTGGAGCTTTCAGATGGAGGATGAATGACTCCTTATTTAGGAATGAGGAAATTATTAAAAAGGCCCAGAAGAATTTGAGAGATTATTTTGAGATAAATATGAATACCACGACAGAAAAAATAGTGATTTGGGACGCCAGCAAAGCGGTGATGAGAGGATTTTTGATACAACAAAATGCAATTAGGAAAAGATATCAAAATGAGAAGAGAGAAAAAATTTTGGAGAAAATTAAGGACGGAGAAAAAAGACTGAGGGCGAAACCGAACTCACAGGAGATTTTAAAAGAGATAAAGCTATACCAAGTACAATATATGAAACTGATGAATCAGGAGATAGAATGGAAGGTCAAACAGATGAAACAAAAGACCTTCGAATCGGCAAATAAATGTGGGAAATTACTGGCCTGGCAAATGAAAAGACAAAAGCTGAATACGATTACGAACTTGGTAGTAGAAGGGAAGAACATACAGAATCCTGGAGAGATTCGGAAGTGCTTTCAGAATTATTTTAAACAGTTATATACGCAGGAGACTCAGAAAGAATTAGACATTGATCGGTTTTTGAAAAATAATGGATTACAAAAAGTATCTCAAGAGAGCAAATCAATATTAAACTCTACAATATCTGATCAAGAGGTGGAAGGAGCCATTCAGAATATGAAATTGGGCAAATCTCCAGGACCGGATGGTCTAACTGCAAAGTACTACAAATCTTTGAAAGAATGGTTATTGCAACGGCTGAAAGAACTTTGCAATGAAATACTATGGGGAGGAAAAGCACCCGAGTCGTGGAAAGAAGCATATATTACACTTATACCAAAAACTGAAGTGGAGAAGACACAGCTGAAGAACTACCGTCCCATATCCCTACTTAATGTGGATTACAAAATTTTTGCGGAAATTATGGCTAAAAGATTAAAAAATGTATTGGTAAAAGAGATTCATAAAGATCAGGCGGGCTTTCTCCCGGGAGACATCTGTCAGATAATACTAGGAATATTATCAATATTTTAGAAAAACTGCAAGTTAATATCAATACCAAAGCTGTTTTAATATTTGTAGATGCAGAGAAAGCGTTTGACAATATTTCTTGGAGTTTTATGAAGAAAAATTTGCAGGGGATGGGGGTAGGCCAAAGTTTTGAAAATGGTATAGGTGCAATTTACTCGGAACAAAAAGCTAAGCTTATTGTGAACAATGTAGTTACAGAAGAATTTAAGATAGAGAAAGGAACAAGACAGGGTTGCCCAATCTCCCCATTGCTTTTTATATCGGTCCTGGAAGTTTTGCTCAATATGATTAGAAAAGACCAATTGGTTAAAGGTATACAACTCGGAGCTAAACAGTACAAATTGAAAGCTTTTGCTGATGACTTAGTTTTGACACTACAGGAGCCAGAAGCTAGCACAAAAGAGTATTACAATTAATCCAAGAATTTGGTCAAGTAGCAGGTTTCAAATTAAACAAGATGAAAACTAAGGTATTAGAGAAAACCTTACAGAGATTGAGAAGGAGAGGTTTCAGAAAGAGACAGGATTAACAATTGTTAATAAAGTGAAATATCTAGGGGTGAATATGACTGCCAAAAATGTGAATCTGTTTAAAGATAATTATGAAAAATGTTGGTCAGAAGTGAAGAAGGATTTAGAAATATGGTCAAAATTGAAGTTATCATTGTTAGGCCGAATTGCAGCGATAAAGATGAATGTATTGCCTAGAATGTTGTTTTTGTTTCAAACATTACAAATTGTGGATAAAATGGACTGTTTCAAGAGGTGGCAAAGAGATATTTCCAAATTTATCTGGCAGGGCAAAAAGCCTAGAATAAAATTTAAGATATTAACAGATGCGAAGGAAAGAGGGGGATTTGCCCTGCCAGATCTTAAACTTTACTATGAATCAGCTGCATTTTGCTGGCTGAAAGATTGGCTACTTCTTGAAAACGTGGACATTTTGGATCTAGAAGGCTTTGATAATGTGTTTGGATGGCATGCATATTTATGGTATGACAAGGTTAAAGCGCATAAGGCCTTTAAGAATCATATTGTCAGGAAAGCATTGTTTAATGTTTGGGTGAGATATAAGGATTTGTTGGAAAGTAAAACACCAAGGTGGCTGTCACCAATGGAGGCAAAGGCATTGAAAAAAACTAATATGGAGACAAATTGGCCAAAATACTGTGAAACTTTAGAACAAGTTGGAGATAAACTAAAACTGCAGAGTTTTGACAAATTAAAAACTAAAGTCCGAGATTGGCTTCATTATTATCAAATAAGGGAGGTTTTTAACCTAGATAAAAAGATTGGTTTTCAGGAGGAAAAATCCAAACTGGAAACGGAATTGTTAGAACCTAAAACTAAAAATTTGTCAAGAATGTATAACCTGCTGCTGAAATGGAATACACAGGATGAAATGGTTAAGTCTGCTATGATTAAATGGGCACAAGATGTTGGGCATAATATTATGTTTGCTGACTGGGAACGGTTATGGATCACAGGTATGAAGTTTACGGCTTGCAGTGCCTTAAGAGAAAATATAATGAAAATGATTTATAGGTGGTACTTAACCCCAGTCAAGCTAGCAAAAATTTATCATTTGCCCGATAATAAATGTTGGAAATGTAAAGAAAATGAAGGTACCTTTTTCCACCTTTGGTGGACGTGCCCAAAGATCAAGGCCTTCTGGGAAATGATATATAATGAACTAAAAAAAGGTATTGAAATACACTTTTGTGAAGAAACCAGAGGCCTTCCTCTTGGGCATGGTCGGCCAATTGGTGCGAAGGGAAGATAGGAATTTTTTTTATGTATGCGACAGCAGCGGCAAGAATACTCATTGGGAAATATTGGAAGACACAAGAATTGCCTACCCGAGAAGAATGGCAGATGAAAGTGATGGACTATATGGAACTGGCTGAGATGACCGGCAGAATCCGAGATCAGGAAGAAGGGTTGATGGAAGAAGACTGGAGAAAATTTAAAATATATCTTCAGAAACACTGTAATATAAAAGAATGTTAGAAAAAGGTTGGAAAAGAATATTAGGCCGTATTGGCAGACATGGTATAATGGAATAAGTAAAAATGAAGCGTAAAATGAGGATAGAGAATTAAATACTTTCGAATGTTAAAATAAGTAAAAGAAAAGAAGGTTAGAAGGATTTGCTGGAGATACGATTTAAACTAGAATACAAAGCAGGGAGGTGAGAGGAAGTCATGGAAATAAGTAAAAGGGAAAAAGGTTGTAAAGGTCTAATTTGATTTTTGTTATTTTTTATTGTGATTCTTTGTTTTTTCTTATTTCTTTTTTATTGTCTGTTTTTTGTAACATGTGTATGGTTTGTTTTTTCTTTATTTTTTGTAACTTTAAAACTGGAATAAATATTCTTTAAAAAAAAAAAAAGGAGCTCCGGCAGGATAGCAGGACAGGGTTGAGGCAGGAACTGACAACCAACGAAGTTGTTCTTGCAACTTGGGACTGAGGCTGGCTGGCTTTTATCTGCCCCAAGGCACAGGGTGGCCCCGATCCTCAGGTGACTCGCCTCTCCTGGCCTGAAGGTGAGCACTCCTCCTGCAGGAACTTAGTTCCCTCCGCCTCTCTGCCCTGAGTCTCTGCAGATCAGGAGAAGCTGGAGGGTTGCTGGACCCAGAGGCAACCTCAGCTTCCTCTGACGGGGCTGAGAGTGGAGCACCTGCAGGCAATGGGTCCTCCACCCCCTCAGGAGCCAGAGCAGACTCAGCTGGTGCCTGCACCTGAGGAATCCAGCACAGGTGAGGACCCTTCAGGCTAATGCCCCAGCCCCGGCTCAGCTGGTTCTGGAGGCGGAGAATCCTCTGCAGGCTGGGACTCCTCAGGTTCAGCATCCGAATCTGAATCCCAGGCCATCACAGGCGGGGCAATATAGCAGGCGCCACGGGTGTGTGGAGCTCCTGAGGACAGCCAACACCAACTGCGCTGCCTGGCTGGTCCCCAAGCTGCCCAAACCACCACCACTGCCGGAGGGGAGCAGGGGACGTCTGGTGTGTCAGCCAGGAAAGCTGCCCCCCCCCCCCCGTGACCTTGGCTGTGCTGGGACTGGGAGCACCCAACCAACAGCCCGGTGGAGCTCTGGGGCCTGGAGCTGAACAGAAAACAAAGCAGAAAGAAAAAAGGAGTCCCTCACCAGCTGAACACCAGCTTACCTCTGCCGCTGCCGCCACCGACACCAAAAGGACAAAGGAAATTACCAGGAGGGCCAGGGAGGCTGCAAAGAATTGCTTGGCATAGCCTAGACCCGACCCGGGCCTAACTTTCTGGCAGCTGGCATGACAAGAGTAGCCCGGGGCTCAGGGGGAAACTGCACGCCAGAGGCCACCACGGGGAAAAACATACACAGCATGGGCCCTCCCCAGCTGTTATATATATTTCTTTTTATTTCTTTTTCTTTTTTTATAATAATTATGCTGGTTTTTTTAAAAAATTATTTCTTCTTTTTCTTCTTTCTTTTTCTGTGAAGAACTGTAATGGCATCCTTGCAGGAGGCCTGAACCATAGAAGGGAATACCACCTTAGCCCTTACCCAGAGACCTGACAACCAGTGAAATTAAAATGGCCTGTGAGTCAAAATTACTACCAATACATTCTTTAATTATATACACAACCCCCTTTTTTCACTCAAAACATTAATTATTTTTTTTATTCACTTTTACACCTTTTCTATTATTACTCACTTATTTTTTACTATTCTTCTTGTGGCTATTCTATCTTGCGGCTGAGTCCAAATGCAGGCAAGTTAGAAGTGATCTTCTCCGTCTAGCGTAGGAAACAAGTACAAAATCCCGTTGAAGAAATACTGTGCGACTAGTATGGGTCAGCTTTTCACAATTGGTATTTTATGGATCTGTTTATGACATTTACAGAATATTCCTCCTTTCTTCCAAACAGCTCAAGGTGATGTCCATATTTATCCTTCTCCCCATCTTCTCACAACAACCCTGCGAGGCTGGTTAGGCTGACAGGGAGTGGCTAGCCCAAGATCACCCAGTGCGTCTCATGGCTGAGCAGGAAATTGAACCCTGCTCTCCCAGGTCCAAGCCCAACACTCTAAGCACTAGGCCACATGGACTCTCCTGGAATCTTGGCATTGTGGCCATGCGTTCCATGTCACCAAGCAACAGAGGCTGTGACTATATGAACTGAGGTTCTGGCATCCTCAGTGTGGAGAAGTTGGCAGAGGTTTGCTGTAGTGAACCTTGCTTATTTGGATTAGAATATGGCATTTCAAAGACTCCTGGAGGTAGGTGAAAGTTGGCATTTCCAGGGGACTTAGCTTTAGGACATAGAATAATGGTACCATCAAGTTTGGCAAATAGCTATCAAAGGTCAAAGGAAACTTTTGGGGCAAATATTTTAGAAGGGGAGAATGAATGCTGTAAAGGAAAATTTAGTCATCTATATTGTAGTTGGTTGAATCTTATTTTAAATAGTATTCTATATGCTGTTTGGCATTAAAGAAATATTATGTAATATTATGTAAATCTGGGAAAGGGTTAATTGATATTTCTACATAATGGATACTAACTTTGTACTGTTGTTTGAAAGGGAAAGGGAAAAAACATATTTCATATAAGCCTCTCTGAGAGTCTTTTTGGCTGAAGAGTACAAATGCTCTGAATGAATGAATGAATGAATGAATGAGTTCTCCCTGTGGACATCTCTGACCTTCATCTCTTGTTTCAGGTCACCTTCCTTCCTGCGGAGCAGCTCTTGGAGGCCAAGTGTTTCTTGGCCAGTGACCTTGCTGTTGAGAGCACCTTCGAGCCCTTGGACGTCTCCCACTTGCTGCGAGAGTTCAGCAGCAAAGCAGTGGAGGTAGGATGCTGCCAGGGTAGGAGAGAAGAATCTCCGCCTTGAAGTAGGAGAGTCCACCTCATGCCATTGGGTGGCCATGACATATGTTTGTTGGGAGGGGGCCTCACAATGTCAGAGCAAGAACTTCAGCCCAAGGGTCCTGAAACAGCCCCACTTCCTGGTACCATCTGAGTGACCCTCTCCTTTATCTCTGACAGGTGGAGGTGTTGCTGGAGGCCTTCCATAAGATCACTCCGAGGTCTACAATGGAGGGCAGAGAAGTGGCCATCTGCGCTTTCTCCATCTTACCTTAACATCTCCTGGAGAAAGTGGTTGAATACCTCCTCCAATTTCCTTTCATGTATGGGGCACTCAAGCTTCTACTGGCCTAAGAGAGATGTTGGGAATCTCCAGGGCTTGCTCAGAAAGTAACTCTCTCCCTGAGGGGGGAGGCCAGACAGCTGGAGAACCCGCTCCCCACAGTGTCAGCAGCCAGTCTCCAAATCTCTTCCTCTCTCTGGATTCCCAGCTGATTTGCTGCCTCATGGCAACAGACAGAGGATTTGGAGGGCTCCCGCCGTGGTACCATAGCCAGGATTAGGTCCTTTAACAGTAAGAGCAACAGAGCAGAAGCTGAGAAGGCAGGGACAGGCCTCTATCCTCTAGGCGAGGTAGCAAGGGGTGAGATTGGTGCAAGTTTCCCCTCTCTTTTTGCCATCTGCAGAGATGCAGCAGCACAGAGGTGCTGATCCAGATCACTGAGGGATCCTTCTGGAGTGCAGGAGACCAGGGAAGACCAAGCCATTTCCTCTCTGTGGCATGGCAGCAAGCAGTAGAGTTCCTGATGGAGCTGGACCACCTGTGAATGGCTCAGGTTTTGAGGCAAAGTGCCTTTCTGGCCCCCGCACCACTGCCAGAGAACCAAATGGTCCCCTCCATGCAATAATGTGGCATTCCCTGAGCCAAGAGATCTGACTGTTGCTGTGCCTGCAAGAGAATATGGCAGGAGGTTTTGGCTGACCAACAACAACTACTCCATCTGATGGCCAAGCAGCTGCATCAGAGCCCCTTTAGAAACCAATAGAAAAAAGACAGTCACGGAACTGAGAAATTGCACAAAACAAATGAAATACCGTGAAAATCCCTGAAACGAGAAGTAATCGACTAGAAATATTATCTTGTGGAAATAAACTAAATAATAAAAATCAAAAAGCTTAAGGAAAAAAATAGAAAAACCTAAAATAGAACAAAGCCTTAACTGGATGCTGGCTACAAACCTCGTTTCACTGAACTGTTCAGTTTCCTCAAAAGGAAATAGAAAAATCACAAACTTTAAATGACCAAAATTCAAAAAAAAGGGGTAGAACCCCCAAAAATTCTGAAGTATTATAATCCTAGCTCGACCTAGGTAAAGCAAAGTGCAGTAATAAAGCATTGAGGACCCAAAAGTACAGATTCTAATACTGAATTTACAAAAAAGGTTTGAAAACCTAAATGGCAAGTTTTAAAGAAAGCCCAACTTGAAGAAAGCACAGTAATAGAGGGTTGAGGACTCAGCTGTGAAAATTCTAGTGCTGCTTTTACAAAAAGGTTTAAAAACCTAAATGGCACAAATTCAAAGAAAGGAATACAAGATAAGCTGTTTTAGATTTTAAACAAACTCAAGAACATGGCTGAAATGCTCCCATGGTCTAGATGTTACTGCTGATGTTAAAGACTGATACCAGATGTTTCCAATCACAGCTTTATACAGTATAGGGCAAATTTTTTTTTAAAGGGACAGGCCATCTTGTTAAAACAATGGGCGGGGTTGGTAAAGTTTGGAAAAAATAACAAGAATGATATTGAATGGAGTTGTAGAAAATTATAAAAATGAACTAAAGTCAATATAAGCATTGAGACCTGATGGAATTAAGGAGCCAAATCTAAAAATCCAATACATTTCTTTCTGTAATAATTTCTTTCTTAAGACATCCATGTTTGCCTCAGGAGTGTAATGTTTATAAATGATAAACCATCTGAAATCTGTTGCCTTATGTTTAGCCTCTAAGAAGTGAGATGTAAGAGGTGCTTCCAACACCTTGTTAGAAATACGATTCTTATGCTCTAGTATTCTAATTTTAACTGTTCTTGTAGTGCTGCCCATGTACCAACGGTTGCAAATACATTGAATTGCATATACCACTCCACAGGAATTACAGTTGGTAAATGCTTCCAGTTTGATAATGCTGTTGGCTCCGGTTTCCACTTCCGGTTGAGCGCGATCCCGTCGCAAGCGGGGATTCTTCGGAGCGGAGAATCCCGGGTTTTTCGGAGGAATTAGGGGTGCCACAGGGCGCAGTGGACCCCAGAAGTAGTACCTGGAGGGTGTCCAGATACTCAGGTTCCCGCGGAAGCTGAAACGCAGACGGCCCGGCCGCCAGGTAACTCCCGCTAGGGAGCGAAGAGTGCGGCGGGGGGGAGAAGCAGGCTAAAGGGAAGCCATAGCTACCTCTGGAAAACGAAGCCCCAAGCTTGCAGGGGAAGCGCTTAATTCTCGAACGCAAGAAATTCGGTCCTA